ATAATCAATAAATGGTAACGAAATAAAATGGCAAAATGAAATTATTCTGTGTTCTGTTTCTATGCAATTTATATTGTGAATGACGTGGTGTGTGCAGCTGCGCCAACATGTTCAGTTGTTTCGCGGTACAATTTTCTCCAAAACAAATGCAAATAATGTGTTTGCTTTACTTATTTATTTTATTGTCTCATCTCTTAAACCCGTCTTTCATTTCTGAGATTTGACGGTATCCGTGGTCAGCTTCCTACTCTCAACTGGGAATGCGAGTTTGATTTTAAAGACTCTGGAAATTATGTGTCTTGACCAGCCACTGGTGTGTGTGTGTGTGTGTGTGTGTGTGTGTGAGGTTTCTCCAGCTGTGATGTCCTATTGATGGTATTTTAAGGTGTATTAAATTAGATTGGACTGAATAGGAAATCACTGAAGGCCCAGGGGTGGAACGCACCGCCACTGCTCCAATGTAAAAGCTGAGTGAGCAACTATGCCTGTTTTTGTGCAGCCTACGGTTAAAACGACCTGTGTAATACTAAAAACAGATCTCGTGGAATACCGGATAGGATTTTATATTTAAATTTATTTTTATTTATATTGTTTATTTGGATTTACATTTTAATTATCATGCCATACCTTGTGTCTGATTTTGTGAAAAAGCTTGATAAAATGTCTTTTTTAGTTTGGTAAGCATCTTTCTCAGTAGAAATGAATGCACTGGGGGCAAATGGAGACCCATCTAACATGGCAGCTGGCCACTATGGCAGCTCCAGTCCACGGGGCGTCTACGTATAGTTACGTAAACGTCTGTGGTAGACCCGCAGTTTAGAGACTTGGGCAATGGCGGCTCTACCAAAGAAAGCTAGAAATCCCTTTTCAGAGGAATCTAGGAAAAGAAAAAGAGAACACGACGAAGCAAGTGCAAAGACCAGAGTTAATACTGGGCTGGCTTTTCCTCACTGGAGAGCTCTTCTTGATAGAACGACATGTGCTACAGACTCTGACTTAGCCGTGCTGCTAATGGATAAGCAAGTGTAACAGAATGAAATGACTGTTTTTTCCTCCTCTGCACAAGACTAGTCTGCATGAGATATGGCCTCAAGGTCTCATGCATTCCTTCTAGCCTGCTTATCTTCAGCTCAACAGAAGAATGGAGAATGAACTCTTCTTTTAATTCATCAAAGAACTCTATTTTAATAAAGCTAATCCATCAAAGTGTTAGTCAATGAATAAGATGTGACCGATCGGTGAAATCAAAATATTAATTACTTTATTATAATCCTATAGAATATGATGAGTAATATGACTATAAATGTTCCAACAGGACTGATCTCACGTAGCGTTAAAAGACATGACACATTCCTTTCACTGATCCAATCAGAATCTGACAGATCTGACGGAGGCGTGGTTTTGATGGTGTTTGGTATTCTTCATTCGACAATAAACCAAAACATCCGAAGTATAAAACTATGCCACGTCATCTCTAACGCCGGTTCAAAGCTTTCCAGAGAAAGTGTCAGAGTGGCCAATCCTGATCTAAACTCTTCAACCGAAAGAACCAACGACAAGCTGAAAAATTCGTTGCTATTCCAACTGCAGCAACAGTTCCTTTCAGAATAAAAGCTGAACCATCAAGACCCAGCCTTGGGTCTCACCAGAAGCCAACAAAGTGCCGTGACCCGGAAGTAACTCACAGACTGGACTGGTCGGTAACCGCTGCTTTTCCTACCGGCTCGGTTCCAGAGAGGGTCAAGCTGGACCTCGACATTCCTGATCTAAGGAGGACTTCCTGAAGGGTAGGAAGACCGACATAATGGTGTCTCATGTGTTTATGAATCTCCTAACCAAAGCTTAACGCGAAGACATCACCTTCAGTTCCCATCAGAACTAATCGCTTCTTCGGATTTGCTGGTTCTGATTAACATCACACATCATCCATTCACCATCTCATCCACTTTAGTTACACCGTACATTTAGTTTTAAAGTCAGTCTAGTTTTATTTGTTAGTAATAAAATTCTTAACGTTTAAACTTGACTCTCTTCTTTTGTCTCTGAGTGAATATGAAGCGGTTATCTAATCCCTGCAATAAAAAGTTCCAATCTTCTGGTTTAAATAACCTCACAGATCCGTAAGGTGGATTTCATATTTCCTATGGAATCCCACGCCTTATGGCTTATTAAATAACATGTAATAAAATTCATTACACAAGTAATAAATGACTATATCTGGATTATTGTGTTTGGTCGGACATAAACTTGCTAAACAGTCCTGATAAAACTTTATTCAATGCTGAAATGCTGTTTATTGCGTTTATTTGGGCACGCAAGTTAGAAAAAAGCCAGCAAACATGCCTCTTATGCGCGACAGAGACATCAGATTTTACAACGATGATGTTATGCATCAACCCTTGAGAGGGCGACAGAGAGCATTTATCTGCAAAGTTCAGGAGTGTGTCTTTAAGGTATCAAACATATCAAATCAGCCTGGCCCTGTGTAGAAAAAGGAACAGACTCATATGCTTATTAAATGGTTGTAAAATTCTTGAGGGCAATGATTGCAATCCAGTGTTTGTGATAACTGGTAAAGAATCTCTCACATCTTCAACGGAATTTGGTTCCACTCTTCTTTACAGAATAGTAGAACTAATATTTTAGCCCCAATAAAGGGGTTTCTTGCATGAAAATCTTCTTTAACGTCAAAGGCCAGACACTGTCCTTCAAGATGTTCTGCTACAGTACAGAGTAGAAATATTTAATCACTAACAACAAGTGGTCCATGTCCTGAAACAAAGCAGCCCCAGATCATCACACTACCAACACCAGACTGTTTCCTCGGAAATACAGAGGAAGTTTTACTCCAGATGGAATGGAAGGCAGGCCATTGTTCAATTTTCAGTCCACAGAAAGTCTTGTCCAACCTTGGTCCTCGAGGGCCCCCACGTCCAGCATGCCATAGTTGTCCCCTACACACCTGACTCAGTGATCTAATTAACTTTTCAAAGAGTCATCAGCAGAATGTTGTTTATTAGACAGACTGTTTTAGATGTTCTATAGTAAATGTGAGATGGGACTTTGTTTTGGCCAGCAGAGGTTATGGCCTCCCTATCCACCTTTCCTTCTGTTGAACCACGAACTTTGACCAAAACTGCACTGGCCATCTGGGCTACCAGGACTTTTCCTGGTAGGCTGAAGGGTGAGTGGGCTGGTGCAACCGTAAAAAGAAAAACAACGCAGTTGGGGACGGATTGGTAATTGGCCTTTTGTGTGTAAGTTGATATATGACTTAAGCCTAGTATATATTTCTCTGTCAGCTAGGGTTCGGAGACACACGCACACACACATAGACAGAGATGTTTTCCTTTCAA